GCGAAAAATACTAGCTCGTCTAAATGGTATACAAAATTTTAAAAGTTATGCTACTAGCATTTTCCTACAAACCCTAGAAAATGACTTAAAAAGGGATTATAATGATCTTCTAATGATTGAGGAAGATTATTGGAAAATAAGATCTAGGGTAATGTGGCTAAATGAAGGTGATGCCAATATAAAAAAAATTCATATTTGTGCCTCAAATAGGAAGAGACGAAACAAGATTAATTTTTTCAAAGATAATGCTAGACATTGGATCAATGATTCCCTTTTAATTATGTCTCATGTTCAAAATTATTTTGAAAATATTTTCACCATTTCACACAGCAAAACAAGCAAGAAAAGCCCTCTAAACCATAGTTCAAATATTGGTTTTTTAAACCTGAGTGCATTAGACAGACCCTTGCTTGATATGGAAATTAATAGAGTCATTTTTTCCTTTAAACCCTTTAAAGCTCCAGGACCATACGGACTCCACTCTATTTTTTTACCAAAAATACTGAAATATTATTGACCCTTCAGTTGTGAAACTATATCATGACATTTTTAATACGCAAGTAATCCCCCTAATAATTAACAAAACCTATCTTTGTCTAATATCCAAAATTCCAAATGCTAACAACATTAGGAATTTTAGGCCAATTGGCCTCTGTAATACCATTTACAAAATAACCACAAAAATTCTAGCAAACCGGCTAAAGCCATTCCTTGATCACCTAATAAGGCCCTTTCAAGCTAGCTTCATGAAAAATAGAAGAGCTTTTGATAATGTTGTCATTATCCAAGACCTAGTTTCAAACTTAAAAAAATTAAAAGGAAAACAAGATTACATGATTCTTAAAATTGATCTGGAAAAAGCTTTTGATCGACTTGAGTGGTCTTTTGTACATCAGACCATCCAATATTTCAAATTTCCCCCCAAATTCTCAAAACTCATATTAAATTGTATCTCAACAAGTTCAATAGCAGTCCTAGTTAATGGCTCTATTACAAACCTTTTTGAGCCAAGTAGGGGGATCAGGCAAGGAGACCCCATATCTCCCTATATCTTCATCCTTTGTTTAGAAATACTCCCAAGATACATAAACCATCAAATAGATATTAGGAATTGGGATCCAATAACCACAGGGAGAATTGTCCAATTTTTTCCCACTTATTCTTCGCAGATGACCTCACATTGATGGCCAAAGCCAATAAAAAATCATGACACACCATCAATGGAGGTCTAGACTATTTCTACAATATTTTAGGACAAAATATAAACCTTGCCAAATCAAAAATAATCTTTTCAAAAAATTGTTCTGAAACTCTCATAAAAGATATTACAACCCTATTAGGAATTAAAAAAAGTGAGTCATTTGGTACTTATCGAGGGTTCCCTATCTTAAATAACTATCGTAGGCCAAGGGACTACCAATTTATTGTTGATAAAATGAGAGCTAAACTAGCAGCTTGGAAAATGAAATTCATAAATATAGTTGGTAGAACAACCCTATCACATTCTTGTTTAAATTCAATACCAAACCACTATATGCAATATACTTTACTGCCCAGAAAGACCCTTAATAAAATAGATAAGGTACAAAGAGATTTCATCTGGGAGTCTACAAATGAGAGGAAAAACATTCACCTTATTAATTGGTCTACCATTTGCCAATCAAAAACAAATGGAGGACTTGGTATCCACAATACAAATTCAAAAAATTTTATGCACATTGGCTAGTATGGTATGAAGAATGCTCACCAATGCTACAATGCTACCTCTCCTTGGGCTACTCTATTAATCTCTTCCTATGCATCAAGTAATGTCAAGAATAAAAATTCTTTCATTTGGAAAAATATTAAAAAGGATGGGATTTATGCTCTAAAGGAATTATTTGATCACCTCACGTTCTCTCCAACATGAACATATGAAAAACCAATTGGATCCCAAAGGTGGGAAGTCTTAGAAAAATAGTGGAGGGACCACTCCAAAAAAAGGATCAATTTTTAAAATTAAAGGATTTATTTAATGGGGAAAACTGGGATTTTGATAAAATTTCTCTTAATATTCCTAACGATACTAAGGAAAGCATCAGTAAGGTTAGAATCCGTCTAAAGGGACCAAAAAGTGACATTCATGTATGGTCACTTTCTACTAAAGGTTTTTTCACAACCAAAACATGCTACAACTTATTAATGTCTTCAAAAAACAACCTAATAGATTTCCAATGGGTTTGGAACCTTAATTGTCCCAATAAAATAAATTTTTTTATGTGGCAATGTCTCCATAATAGGATACCCTGTAGACAATATCTGACACAAATTGGCTTAAATGTCGATCCAATGTGCTCTATATGCAAAAATAACGAAGAAGAATCTATAGCCCACATGTTCTTTAACTGCAAGACGACTAAATTTTTTTGGGATAATCTTGGGTGGCATCAATACTATAAGGCACCAGATGACCACTGGTTGAACCAACTGAAATCTTTTAACTACCCAATTAGGAATAATTTTATAAATTTGGACCTCTTCTTTCCTTTTGTTATATGGTACACTTGAATAAATAGAAACAATAAAAACCAAACCAATACGACTACTCTCATCAATGGTGACTTTATTATTCAAAAGGCAACTGAATATAGACTCTTCACTGAAAAAACTATGTACACTCCTCCAAAAATTCCTATCAAAATTGCATGGCAAAAACCAAAAAAAGGATGGTCTAAACTAAATATTGATGCTAGCTTTGACAGTGTTACACAAAAATGTAGTTTGGGAGGTATTTTTCAGGGATACCAAAGGACACTGGATTGTGGGCTTTGGTAAACCATCATATGCAGGCGGATCACTAGAAGCGGAGATAAAAGATCTACTAGAGGGACTCAAAATGGCTGAAGAATGGAGAATGTACCCACTTGTAATAGAGACAGATTCTGTGGATGTTATCCAATCCATCCTATAGGGCAATAGGTTATTTGATGATATTGTTAATGAATGCAGGTGGTTAATGCACCAACAGAAGGAGATAATCCTCCAGCACACATTCAGACAAGGGAATAGTGTAGCTCATCACATGGCAAGAAAGGCTAAGGATCAATTGGAAGGCAAGAAGACTTTTGTTGAAACTCCATCTTATGTAAAATGTTTTGTGGAAAGGGAACTACTAGAACAATATATTTTTGAGAAATTTCTATCTTATGATGCTTGTAACACTCTAGCAAGCCTAGGTAATCAAAGTGTCCTTAGAGGCACCAAATATGCGTACAATGTACTGAACCCTACTTAATTACTAATATATATTTCATGTTTGCTCCAAAAAACCAAAAGCCTCTTGAGTCGCTTCTCTTTATCTTCCTTTTCTTACTAATTGTGCCATCTTCACATTGCCGTGCATATCAAATCACAAAAAATACAAGTTTCATAAAAGAAACCAAGTTTAAAAGGAATGATATACCAATTTTGATAGAGTAGCTTAGCAAAGTAATTTGAAAAATGAAGAAGATGAGCTAAAATTTTATTAAAAGCCATTGAAGCTGGCTTAGGCTTGAATTTAAAATTTTGAGTTTTTGAAATTGAAATTTGTTTGGATGGTGTTATTGGAATAGATCTGGTACATCTCAAGAAGTTTAAATCCCAATTTTAAGACAAGTTAGTGAAGATATGAATTAAAATTTGAACCAAATTCTATTTAAATATGAAATGAAAATAAAATAAAATAAAATATGTATTCCCATGTGTATCCCCATATATGTAAGACGTTTGCAGCCCAACCCAAAAAGTCAGGACAACAAGGGTGATTGACGGAAATAATACTATAAGAGATTGGTATTAAAATATTGTTCCCATTTTTTGAATGCTTAGAAATGACCTTCGAACCCACGCACTCTTATTGTTCGTCAGAAATTTCTCTATTATCTAGTTTATCGTTAGTTGTTCAAAAAATTATCCGATTGACATTTTTTTTTTTTGATTGTTGAATTGTTCACCAAATTCCACCATATTAGCATGATTTTGTGTTATATGAATTCGACTTATTTGTTAAATTGTTCACAAACTCTTCTCGGTTGATATGATTTACTGCTTGTTCAATTGTTCCCAAACTCTACTTGATTAGCATGCCTGTCTTATCTACAATCAATCAAATTGTTAAATTCTTCGTCATCGTCTATCAAATTAGCATTAATTTGTCTGTGTTGCTTAATGAAGTGTTTTTCAAATTTGCAATTCTAATTTTGATTAAACCACCTCAAATCTGCTTCAAATGATTTCAAATTTGAAACAAAACCTCCAAATACCAACACAAACAATCCGCGATCACCAATTTTGTATAATAACACTAAATAAACAATCGTCTATCAAATTGGCATAATTTGTCTCTGTTGCTCAATGAAGTGTTTTTCAAATTTGCAATTCTAATTTTTATCAAATCACCTCAAATCTGATTCAAATGATCTCAAATTTGAAACAAAGTCTCCCAATGCCAACACAAACAACCCTCGATCACCGATATAGTCAAATAACACTAATCAAGAAAATTTACTTTGTATAATTCAACATTTTCTAAGAACTAACAATGAAGTTTTGAGATTTTTGAAGCAAAACACTAAATCAATGTTTGAACTAAAAATTAAAGCATAAATTTTCAACATTCAAGTGATTTCAACAATAATCAATCATTAACTTTCAGTTTCTACCGCCCAAACAAGAATTTCAAGCTTCCAATATTGAATGTACTATGCTGTTCTTGAGGAATAAGAAGCCTAATTTCCAACAAAATAAAGACGATATGGATTTGGTAATGAACCTTACATGATAAGAACAATCTTTCTAGGAGGCTGATACCAAACAATAAAAACTGAGAAGGGACTAAATAGCCCAGTTTATCCACAAACAAATTAAACCAAACACAATCAAAATGTGTAAATGCACAAGTAAAATCATACTTTGGCGCACCTTGATTTAGTAACAGTCGAATAATAACAATCATACTGATATTTTTACATGTAAAAAAAGCGACAAACCTTTCACTTGATAGTACATTTCATGCATTATAATTTATATATTCTCCAAAGGGCGCACATAATTGAAGGCACAAATGAAGTATAATTTGGAATCAGAGAGGTGCATGCATAAAATAAATACTGAAAGCTTTTGATGAATGACAATGACTTTTCTCATTATTGATTCTAACAAGGCCAACTAACAGCTACACTGAAAAAGTTGCTCCCTAAGTGAGATGCATCGGTGCAACAAACAAGAATTATTCCAATAAAAACAACTCAGATTCCCCCTCTAGCTGTTTCACTACTTCTGTTATCTCTACTCTGATCTGCCTTCAGAGCAAGAAACTTCACGCTTTGCTAGTCTTGGTTCTAGAATCGCAGTACAACAAATTTGGTTGCGACATACTAAGCTCAAGAAGTAGAAAGGCGACATATGGTTTTCTGACAGTGATAGCGATAACAAAGTCTGGAAATCACTTGTCTACACAAGATCACCCCATCTTACTTTATATCGTGCTGCAAGATAATGTGCTCCAATAGGTCCTCGACTTCCATAGGGGTAATATTCTGGAACTATTTTCTTATCCTCAAGTTCTTTTAACACTGGAGTGAAAAGAGACCAAGCAGCATCCAGCTCATCACTGCGGATGAAAAGCCGCCTTTCACCTTCTACAGCATCAAGAAGCAGCCGCTCATATGCATCAGGGATCTCCTTCGAGTATCTACAAATTAAGAACTAATCAGTCATAGTTTCACAAAGAAAGTATCATGACATGGTTTATTTAGGGTGGTGAGCATATTCAGTCAAGAAGCAAAGATTACGCTGAAGCAATGCATCAGAGTTATCTGAAAGAATCAGAAGATTTAAGCTTTAAATGCAGTTTAGAAGTTCATTTAAAAAGTGCAGTGAATTTCATGATCTGATACATGGACATGATGGGCAATCATCTAGCAATCATCTCGTACTGATTTGAAAACAATAGGAAAGGCTTCAGCTAATCATTACACATGCAGTTGGAATTACGGCGTGGTAGTTGTCGGTGTTGTTGTAGTGTAGCTTTCATCTATATGAATAGCAGAAGGCACCTAAAGGAAAATCTAGAGTTCACAGTCTCAGGATTTTCTTCTTTGAAGTAACAAAAATTAGCTTGCATCTTGTATGTCGAACAACTCATTAAAAAATTTCTAGCTGTTTTATTTCCTATATATTAAACTTAGCCCCTAAATAAGAGTAACAGTCACAAGTACGAAATGATGCATTATACATTTGCCATCAATACCTTGCCGAGTAAAGAAGATTAAGATTACAGCGATCCAATCTCATTCCTAGACCAGGAACTTTGTTATTGATCTTTAGGTATATAGCTTCATTAGGCTGGACACGGATAACAAGCTCGTTGGTCGCCTGGTCAAGATCTGAGCCAAAGTTCTTATTGTATAAATTTCCTGGTACGTGCCTGAATTGTACTCTTATTTCCGCACTAGCAAAGGAAAAGCAAAATGGTATAAAGTGGCAAGTAAAAATATGAAGGAAAAAGGAAAGCTGTATTTGGTTTCACCAACCTCCTAGTATGTAAAGCTTTCCCAGCTTTCATAAGGAAAGGCACCCCATCCCATCGTGCATTATCTATGAAAAGAGCAGCTGCAGCAAAAGTTGGGGTTAGACTGTCCTTCGGTACAGTCTTGTCGTCAGTATAACCGGGATAGGTAACATCTCCTTTTGTGTGACATTTGTACTGCCCAATGATAACATCGTCTAGTTGTAAAGGTCTCATGGAACGCAGAACTTTTACCTGGCATGTAATAGGAATTAGTTATGGAACTATAAAACAATAAATTCCTCCAAAACAAATCGGTCATAAAGAGTAAAACCTTTTCATTTCTGATATCTTCCGCATCCAAACTCACAGGTGTTTCCATGGCAAAGAGGGCCAGAATTTGAAGCAGATGGTTTTGCATGATGTCTCTGATTATCCCATAATGATCAAAATAACTGGGAACACGCATAAAAGTAAAAGAATGAAGTTCTGGAAACTAGTTCCACGCAACCTAAATTCCAACTTTGAGAAAGAGAATTACCCTCCCCGTCCTTCAGTGCCAAAATCTTCTGAGAAAATAAACTGCACATTCCTTATATACTGCCTTGACCACAAGGGTTCAAATATCAAGTTGGAGAAACGAAGGACAGAAAGGTTTTCCACAAGCTCCTTCCCTAAATAGTGATCGATCCTGTTGATCAAAAACATAAATGAGGATAATAGTACTCTTCCTTCAGTGGGTCAAAAGCAAATCAACTTCAAAGAACTGCACCTAAAAATTTGGTCTTCATTCAAGTACTGCTTAAGAGATCTTGTCAATGCAGCAGAGGATTCAGAATCCCGACCAAAGGGTTTCTCTACAATGACTCTTGTCCAGCCATGAGCAGATGATGCAGAGAGGCTAGCACATCGAACCGCATTTATAAAAATATTTGGTGGAATGGATAAGTAGAATAGACGATTGGAAAACCTTCCTGCCTGCAAAAATTATCAATGTCAAAGCTGAGAGACTTGCAAGTAAATTAGAAAATTAAATTTAACTTCACCACTCATTAGAATTATGAAAACTGCAAGAAAGAGCTAGATATGGCTGAAGATCTCAGCAGAAGTCAACAATCATCAAAAAGCTCTTTCATTTGCCAGAAAAAGGAGGAGAGACGTGACAGTATGAGGCTGTACGATGACTTTTGATGGCACATTCAACCAAAAAATTCATAATGCTAATATCATCCTGTGTGTATATATATTAGGAAAACTATCAAGTTCCCTCTTTGTCATATCCTACTAGGTGTCCGGTAGTAGGGTTGGGTGTTTTAAGATGAACTAGCAAGACAGATTCAACTTGCAAGCCTGATAATGCTAACCGAATAACCAAAAAACTGCAGTTTGCTGTTTTAAATAAGATCCGCAAAGCTTCATTATATGACTGAAAAGAAATGGACCTTGGGCCTAACTCAACCCTAAAAGCTAGCCCATGAGGTGAGCTGCCCAAGACCATGTAAAGAGACCTCCCTATCCCGAAAGAGCCGATGTGGGACTCCAACTACCTGCACGCCCAGATGTCCGTTGACAACATAAGATAGGGGGCCCACATCACGTAAACAATTAAATGAGATGGGTCTGGCTCTGATACCATAACAAAGAAATGGATCTTGGGCCAAACTCAAAAACCAAAAGCTAGCTTATGAAATGAGGATTGCCTAAAACCATACAAAGAGACCTTCCTATCCCAAAAGAGCCGATGTGGGACTCTGACAATAACATCGCCAAAACATTTTGCAACCTCAATTCTCTCAAAAGGAGACCCGCTAAATACCTCATGTTCCTTCAGCTTTTTATCGAGCTCCGCAAAGTTTTCCAGGGAATCGTATTGGCCGCTGTGGTAGAAGCACCTTTCTAAAAACTGTTCCATCTTTTCACCACAATTTTCCCTGAATAACAAAGTTAATCACAATTATCTATCACTCTCTGAATAAAGCATGAAGCAAAACAAAATGGAGTAAATGCAAAATGAGAATAATTGCAAATATATGTATATGTTACTGATCAACGCAAATCACACCTCTTGTCAATCCTGCAAGTAAGGGTCTTGCTAACCATGTTCCGTAGTTCAGCATCAGTCATCTTACTCCGGGCATAGCCAAAGATAGTGAAATGCTGCATTAACAAGAGGGGTAGCTTTATGAGAGCCATACTACCTAGAGATGGCAAACGGGTGGGTGCGGTCGAACATGGGCGGGTCAAAAACGGGTTATGAAAAACGGATAAAAAATCCGACCCGCCCATACTTCGTATGAATAAAACATGGATTAACTGAAAGATAATATGGGTATCCATATTATCTATAATTTCTTGAACATTGTCATTTTTTTAGAGAATTCCTAGCCTAAAAAAATCTAGGCTCTTTTTATTATTATAAGAAACTTGTAAATAAAATCCTTTATTGTATTCAGATGTTAAAATCAAATTATAATATTACAGCAGTATCAAACTATAGGGTTTTTTTTAATACATAAAATGTTAGAAATTAAGAACGCATGCATTTCCTTGGAAGCAACGATAAATATTTTGCACATGTAAGCTATAATCTAAGAAGTAAAAATACTAATATTTGGCAAAAATATCTAAAAATAACATCATACTTTTAGTCATAATTGTAATAAATAGTTTCGGTAATGTACAACAACAACAAATCCAGTAAAATCCCATAATTTCATTACTGTATGAGCCATTAATTAATTTTTATGGTTTCTTCATATTGGCTAATATACCAACTGAATTTATTGCTCATTAGAATAACATCAGATTTGCGAGTTCAATTGCTCAGGATAATTGTCCAGCAGTTTATAATTATTTCTTCATTTTGTTCGATTGATTTTTCTAGCTAATTAAGCACAATTAGTTTATAGGGAATTAAAGCTGGCCGAAATTAGTTGTGACAGATTAGTTACGGCTTAGAAAAATAAAAATTAAATGTATGCAACTTTAACTTTGATGTGTTTGGTTTTAATTTTGACCCACTTGTAATAAATTAGATATTCAACCCATTTTTGAGCGGATAATATGAGCAGATACTCGTAAAATTTATCCATTTTACCACCTCTATTTCTACCTTATCCGAGTATGGATCCAGTTGACAAGTAATGAACAATATACAGTTAACCTTAATATCAACAGTAACCTCAACGAAACTGAATAAATATGGAACGCACCTCAGGGAGGCAACCCTCATAATAAAGTGCAAACAGTGCAGGAAATATCTTTTTCTTGGCAAGATCTCCTGAAGCACCAACAACAGTAATACTGACAGTTGATTTAGCTTTGTTGCTGTCGAAATCAATTGTATCTTTCTGCTCCTTTGGAGGTGCGACTGGCGAAATTCCATTTTTTAATTTCTTCAAAGGAGTCTCATTTTCGATTTTGCTAGGCGGAATCGCTACTGCACCTGTAGAACATTAAATTCAACATAAGAAACTATATATAAATAGGTCTACTATAACACACTTTCAAGAACAATAATAAGCAACAGACTATCACTATTTTCACAGAACAGGAAAACTGGCTCAACAAGCCCAATGCTTGTCTCTTTTTTTTTTCTTAATTCTCTTTGCAGCCCCAGAAGGAGCTGCAGTTTTTGATAAAGCAAAATCATCTTGACCAAAGAGATAATAGTGTGAAAAATAACATTGAGGGTCTTCCAATGCAGCTTTACTCCGTGCATGAATAATTCATAAAACCAAAAACGAAACAAACTCAAACTTTCTGATGTAAACTCAATAAAGAATCCTACACTCTTTTGTTCTTTCTCCTTTTTGTTAGAGGACAAGACTCCAACAACTTTGCAGAATAAATAAATTGGGACATTTTTTTTTTTTTGATAATTATGTTGTCCGGGGTACCGCTCGGGCACCTCGGCTAATTTCAAGGGTACCTCCTGCCTATCACCTGCCACCAGCACATGTATCAGATAACTATATCCACAGGCTTGGAGACATGGGAAGAAACCACCTCGTATTTTCTGTTCTCCGCGGGGATTTGAACCTAAGACCTCATCGTTCTCAAAATTTGGGACAAAATTTAGCATGGTCAACTTATAAAATCGAAACAATTGACCAAAATTTATCATTTGTTTTGATCAGGAAAAGAAGAAACAAGAAAAAAAAAGACCCAAACCTTATTATGTGAACTCAATAAAGAATCCTAGAACTTTTTTATGTTGTTTACCCTTTTGTAGGAGAACAAGATTCCTACAAATTTGCTAACAAGGAAGAAAATTAGTATACAATTTAGCATGGTCAACACATGAAATACAAACAATTAAGCAAATTTAGCATTTATTTCTGTTAGAGAAAAAGGAAAAAGAAACTTTTTTTTTTAATTAAAGATTAGAAGAAAATAGCTGAATATGAACTAGTAAGAAAGATAAGGGGACAAAAAAAATAACCATCTTGCATGCGAACGGCATTCCAAAATGGCTTCTGATTAATTTGCAAAGAACCAAACTTTCTCGACAAAATTGAAGAAACTGCTATCTGCTTATTATGATGATAATTATAGAGCCCAATAGAGGAATTAGAGTAAGAAGCAACTGGCCCAGAAGAATGGGTTGAAGGAGAAGAATAAAGGGTCACCATTTTCTTGATTTCTTCACTTCTCTATGAAGAATCTGTATCTACAAATATTTTCTAGTGATAGAATTAAGAAAATCGGTTTGTTAGATAAAGACAGATAGGAGGGGGGAGGAGCTATGGCGTTAGAGGACTTAGGATTTGTCGAAGGGGGTTAGTCTCTTGAGATCTCCGAAAGGGTGCTTCTTACATCTTTGGCGACCAATTTAATATTTAATTTGTTCGGCAAGTGGAAAGGGAATGCTAATATGGTGCCATTGATTAATGCTACTCTAGTATTAACAAAAAGTAAATTAGGTTATTATCTAATTGCATATATTATCCTGGATGCTTTTTGTGAAGTTTTGATTTAACCTCCAACTTTAGTTATGTTCATAATTTGTCACTCTCATTGATATTTCTTTCTTTCTTTTCTTTTTCTTTTTGGTATGTATTCTCCTAATACAATGTTCGATTTTGTTATAATCAAGTTCTTAACATAAAGGTACGTGGAGAAGTAGATGCATTTGCAATATGACGTTTTTAATGCAATCTAAATGGATTTCTTGGTTAAATATTTTTGCTTTAATTGGAGTTTAAATTTTTGTACTCCTACATAGAATAAGTTGTACAACAACAATAATATACTCAGTATGATCCCATAAGTGGAGTCTTGGGAGATAGGTATATGTAGACCTTACCTATATCTTGTGTGGGGTAGAGAGGATGTTTAGACTCTCAGCTCAAGAAAACCATTTTCAAAACGGGTTGACAAATACAAGAGTAAAAGAGGTAGGATTGTTGGTGCCAAAACGACACAGTGTTATTCATAAGGGTATGAAATCTTTCTAAGGTAGGGAACTAATGTGTTCTTTGTTCTTGGCCATAGGGTTGGCTTTGTTGTGTTCTTGTATAATACAAATTGGGAAGAAATTCTTGTAACTTCATGTGTGCCTTTTAGTTACTTTGCTGCCTAAATTTGTTCTAAGTCGCAAACGTCCCTAAAATAATTCTAAGTGTTAGAAGACTAAAGTCAAGTGACGGGCTTGAGTGTCGCAGGGAGGTGAACCTCGGGCATAAGAAAATCTCCCATGTGACAACTAGTATCAGAGCATGACAGATTTGGGGCAAAGGCACGATGTTACGTGGTTGAATTTCGTGAAAGATGGTTGGTGGCAACGAAGAAGAACTGAGGGAAATTTTTTTTGCATTAGAGGCACTCGTGAGAACTTATGAGGATGAACAATGTTTGATTATTGTGACTCGTCTCGCCAATCTTGAGGCCTAGATGAATAGGCTGAGCCAGTAGTGCATAGATCTGAAAGAGAAAAATGGGTTGTTGTGTTGGGCTATTGGCAATAATGATGCACAGTGTGGGGAAGATCATACTAAGATAAAAATACCTGAGCCTAAAGAGTTTAATGGTGCAAGGAGTGCCGAAAAACTCAAAAATATTTTGTAGGGTTATGGAGCAACACTTTCAAGCTGCCCATGTGCCAGATGAAGACAAGATCAACATCACAACTATGTACTTGATGGACGATGCTAAACTTTGGTGGCGGACACGCGTGGTAGACGATGTAAGTGTTGGTATGACTAAAATTTACTCTTGGTAAGGGCATAAAAAGAGTTGAAGGATCAGCTCTTTCCTAACAATGCATGCTGGATTGCTAGAGACCATTTGAAAAAGTTGAGTCAAACTGGAATTGTTAGGGATTTTGTGTCAAAGATTTCAGTTCTTTGATGCTTGACATAAGGGACCCCACATGGCGAGGGACTGCCCGAAACTCGAATGACTTACTACTTTTATTTGCTGATGAAAAAGAACAAGATGAGTCGAATAGGGAAGGGCATGAGACTGTATATATAGGGCATATGGTGGTGCTGAAAAATATAGAAGCTACTTTGTCGAGGACGACGAATGCTTTGGGTGAGGATGGTTTGTCAGCCCCTTAACAAGGTTACTCGATAGAAGAAGGTTGTGGCAAGAATTTTCATGATGTCCTTGGCACAACCTGACATATCATCATGACGGGTGACTCAGCATAACGAACTATACGGAAATGACAAACGCACCTTGATAGAGGCAAGGCGCATTTCACATGGACGTGTAGGTTGGAATGACAATGGAAAGGAAATACTATGTCAAGGCAAGGCCAATACATAGCAAGGCAAAGGCAAGACAAGGCCATGGCATGACATGACAAAGAAAAGGCAATGAAAAGTTCACAAAGGCATGCAAGTGGTTGGAAAGGCATATGGACAGTTTGGCACAACAGATGGATGTCAAGGCAAGCCCTAAGACTTGGCACAATGCAAGTCTCGGGCGCAGCTGAGTAGCATGTGCAAGTATGCAGTGCGCATGAGGGCAGTTGGTCGGTTATTTTGCTGAAAAACTAACTTATAGCCATGATTGGAATATTTTATAACTTTTCTTTTTGATTGGTTCAAATTTGGCTTGTTGTTGGGGCTTGTCAACTGCTTGATTTAGATGTTGCCAAGTGTAATTGGGCAGGCTACACTATAAAAATGTATATACGGTGGCAGACTTAGTCTGGTGGCAGAATTATTAGTGCCAAATATCTAAGTATTATTCCCACGGATAGGAAATCTTTCTAAGGCAGGAAACTAGGGTGTTTTTTATTCTTGGTCATAGGGCTGGTTTTTTTTGTTCTTGTATTCGCTTATTAATACAAGTTGGAAAGAAATTCATATAAATTTATGTGTGCCTTTTACTTACTTTGCTGCCTAAATTTATTCTAAGTCTCAAACATCCCTAAAATAATTCTAAGTATTGGAAGGTTGAAGTCAAGTGCTGGGCTTGATAGCCGTACGGAGGTGAACCTCGAGCGTAAGAAAATAACCCATATAACACCAATCATTTCATCTTCGTTTCTCGTATTTTTTCCACTATGGAAGCCACTCCCACCTTGTCCTGTATATTTTTATTCCTAATCTTATCTTAATATGCCTACACATCCATCTAAGCATCCTTATGCTTGCTACTTTTATCTTCTAAACGTGTAAGTTCTTGACTGGCTATAAAATATAGAATAAGTAGTAAGCGACATTTAGATTTTCTTCGTCAAGCTTTAGGGAGGTCCAAATTACTTTTTATATTAAAAATACTTTTTTAAAAATTTTTAAGGTATTTTTCTAAGACAAATAAGTACTTTTGAGTAGTAACAGAAGTAATTTTTTGTTTTTAGGAAGCAATTACAAATTTTAACTTCTTCCAAGAAACAAAAAAGAAGCACGCAATTAATTTTTTCAAGATAAAAATACCCTCACCATAAATTTATATTTTTCAAATAATCCCTTACTAATTTAATATTTTCTTGACTTTTTAATTTCTACCATTCCTTTATTCTCTTTTTATCGTATTTTATTCTCCTTCTCCTATTCCTCTTTGGCATAGTCTTTTGTCGCGATCCAAAAAACTTAAGCAAGGGGTCATGATGGCGCCTAACTCTACCTGCTAGGCAAGCCAACACTTAATAATTACAAAAGAATCAAAACTAAATATTTAAAAACATAATATCATAAATAAGGAGTGAAATCTTCTAAATCAACATAATAAGTATAAAAATCACCATAGATGTCTACACAACTTTCCAAGACTGGTGTCACTGGGTGCATGAGCTCTAAAGAGTATTAAGCCAAAAATGAATACAATAATTTATGATGCAAATAATAGTAGTTAAGATAATGAAGGTGACTCTAGATCCTGCGAACATATGCATCACTACATCAAGTCTCCCCAAGTGTCCAAGCTAAGCACCTCTCAGGACTCCACTAGTACCAACACCTGGATCTACACAAGAACTGCAGAAGTATAGTATGTGTACAACCAACCTTATGTACTCAGTAAGTGTCGAGCCTAACCTCGACAATGTAGTGACGAGGCTAAGACAAGACATCTACTTTATAAACATGTGTAGTTAGTAATAAGAGAAATAAAAAGAATAAATATGAGAAATAATAAAGTGATTAACTAATAGAGATAACGATCACGTTTGTCAAATATCACAACCAAACCTTTCTCAACAACTCAAATTCAAGAGGATGAAACAATATCCATGAAGCAACATAGTTATATCCATAAAGCTGCATAATAAGAAGAATGAGCAAAAGATATCATATCAAATAACACAAAAACACCCTTCGTGCATTTATCTCTCATTCTTGCCAAGCACGAAAATAATAATAATAATAATAATAATAATAATAATAATAATAATAATAATAATGTTAAGAAGCACTAAAAACATCCTTCATGCATAAATCACTCTTTCTCACAAGCACGGAATCACCCTTCGTGCAATTCACTCTTCCTCACCAAGCATATATAAAATAGTACCAAGCAAGGTAAAAAGTTAAATAACATCAAAAAGAGTGATTAAGAATAATACACCAGGTGAGAGATAATCATAACCTTTGCACCTATAGGCAAGCCAACATGTCAATAACATAATGCCCAAGTATCTCAATAAAGCTTAAATATAGTAACCAACAAGTATACGAATGTAACAACCCGACTGGTTGTACTGATCATTGGCATACCATTCATTAGTTTGAGATCTTGAGTAGCTTCATATGATGCATTATGACTTGCATGTATGGTTGGTTTAGATGATTGAAATGTTTGGCATTGATTTGAAAGCTTTAAGTTGGAAGAGTTGACCAAGATTTGACTTTTAAGTAAATGAATTCAGAATCAAATTTTGATGGTTTTGTTAGGTTTGTATAATAATTTTGTACCTGTATGTATGTTCGGATTTGGTTTGGAGGATCCTAGAAGAATTTAACGTTATTTGTCGAAAGTTAGCAATTTGAAGAACTTAAGAGTTCATAAGTTTGGCCAAGAGTTGACTTTGATATTATTGGAATCCTATTGGTGTTTCAAGAACTTTGGATCGGTATATATAGTTGAATTAAACTTGTATGCTAAGTTTGGAAGTAATCCGAAGGATGTAAACGTAATTCAGCCACTCTTTTGAATGAGTGAAGATTTAACAGTGTAAGAGAATTTCTACTCGGTTTGAGCCTCAGTTCTTTGTTGTGATATTCCCCTGGGTATTTTGAGTCTTTGGATAATTTATATCATGTATTTGTACTTGTTGGTATGATTGGATGTAGTCCCGAGGGACTCGAATATGTTTTGGATCATTGGTTGAGAGACTAGTTAAGTTAAGAATTTGGAGTTTGACCATGGTCAATATCAGG